CAAGTGATGACATCTCGGCAAACAAAACCCACGCGGTAAACCGTCAGTGGCAAACAAGACAAGACAAGGCAAGACAAGGGAGATATCTCAATTCAATGGTATCGTCGCATTATAGTCCCCAGACACTAAGGACTTGTGCTACTAATGCTTAGAGTCCCTCAACACGTACGGACTTCCAAACTTTGTGCTACCAATGCTTATAGTCCATTAGCGCGTACGGACTTCCAAACCTTGTGCTACAAGTGCTTATAGTCCCTTAGCACGTACGGACTTCCACACTTTGTGCTACCAATGCTTATAGTCCATTAGCACGTACGGACTTCCAAACCTTGTGCTACAAGTGCTTATAGTCCCTTAGCACGTACGGACTTCCAAGAATGTCATCAAACAGGATATGTATATATATATATATATATTTTCCAATTAGGAATAACCATTCATGCTTACAAATACTTTCCAAAATGAAGCAAAACAAGACTTTATCAAAGCATTATAACATAACTTTATTAAAAATACCACTCACTTAGTTCTTCAAACGTCGGGGCCGAGGCAAGTCCAAACCCTACAAACACATGGCAAAGTCTATTGAATGCACTTTCAAACAAGTTTCACATGCATGCAGATGATCTCGGACCTTTGAAAACCATAACATTCTTGCACCAAATGTAAAACTTTCATATTATCATCAAGAAGTTCCAAATTAAACATCAATCTAGCAAAAATATATATATATATATATATAGCTCAAAGAAAACCCTACCTCAAGTTCTTGATGAAGAAGTGAGATGAAACCCTACAGCCAAAGATGAAAAATCTTCGATTTCCACCAAACAAAGTGAAGTTCTAGCTTTGATCTCCAAAACTTGTGAGAGATTATGGATCTAGACCCAAAGGATTGCAAGAAATCAAAGGTTTTGGGTGTTTTGGTGGAGGTTTTTAGAGAAAAGGAGGAGAAAAATACTTTTTAGAGTGAGAAGTAAGTGTTAAAAGTGATATACATTCAGCCCAAAAGAAGGAAAAAAAACAAAACAACCAAAGGTTTCAGACTACCTAGCTTCCTGCACGTGCAGAGCCTGCTTCCCGCACATGCGGCACTGATCCCCACACGTGCGGCCCCTTAATCTACCCCTTGCCCCATACCTGCATATAATGCAGTGTGCAAGGCTGAAAATGCCACTCCTCCCCACACGTGCGGCTTAATCTCCCGCACGTGCGGCCATAGTTTTTCCAGCCCAGAATTTCTCAACTCAATTCTAGGCACTTCGGACCTGACCTCGCACTCTTTGGAACCAGAGAAATCCAACACCAGGACAAGTATGAACAAAATTTTGAGAAAGATTCCGTACACAACAAACCCAAACAATTAATAAGACTCCAAGTTAAACCGACATCCCAACATAACCAACCCAAAGTTAAACGAGGGAAAGAAAAAGAAAATGAGACATGTAGCGCGCCCAGTTATCACAACCTCTTCACCATAGGGAATTTCGTCTCTGAAATTTAAACAAACCAACCAAACAAAAGGGTTTTAGCAATCATGACTAAACTATCAAAATTTCAAATCGCAAAATTGATCTTCAACCAACATTTACCATAATCATCATCATCATTTTCTCAAAATGACAATTGCTTATAATAGGCATCCGAAATGAAGCATTTCTAACAAAATAACATTCCACCATAACCTCATGCTCAGATTAACAATACATATAACAACATGGGATTAACAATTTTAACACTATTCCTTTCGATACTAGGGAATATTACAATTAAAAACACTAAGCATCCCCAAACAAATTCAGATACTTGGAGCGGACCTCCGCTTCCCGTTCCCAAGTTACCTCCTCAACTCCATGGTGCCTCTACAACAGCTTTAGTAACGGTATAGTTTTACCCCTCAAAACTAGCTCTCGGGTATCTAGTATTTGAACCGGTCGCTCTTCGTAAGAGGCATCCTCATCTACTTCCAAATAAACCCAATCTAGCACATGAGAAGGGTCGAGTTCATACTTCCTAAGCATGGACACATGAAACACATTGTGAACCCCCAAAAGTTGTGGCGTTAAGGCCAACCGATGCACCACTTCCCCAATTCTCTCCAATATCTCAAAAGGCCCAATGAACCTCGGAGACAACTTACCACTCTTATCGAATCCCATCAAACCCCGCCTAGATGAGATCTTGAGGAAAACATGGTCACCCACTTCGAAAGACAAAGGTCGTCTCCTCTTATCGACATAACTTTTCTGTCGACTTGGGGCCATAGCTAACCTCTTCCGTATAAGAGCAACTTTCTCGGTTGTCTCCCTAACAATATCCAGACCCAACAATGGTGCATCCCCTACCTCGGCCCAACAAACCAGCGATCTGCAAAGTCAACCATACAAGGCCTCAAACAGCGCCATCTCGATGCTAGCTTGATAACTATTGTTATAGGGAAACTCAATCAATGGTAAATGCCTCTCCCAAGACCCCTTGAAATCTAGGACACAAGCTTTAAGCATGTCCTCCAAAATTTGAATGGTGCGTTCCGACTGTCCATTGATTTGAGGGTGGTAAGCGGTGCTAAAGGTCAACTTAGTCCCCAATACCTCTTGAAGGCTTTGCCACAACTGGACGGTAAAGCGAGGATCTCTATCTGATACGATGGTCAGGAACTTCGTGAAGTCGAACTATCTCTCTAATGTACAACTCTGCCAAGTGCTCAACTGAGTCTCCGGTATGCATCGGGTGAAATGCGTAGACTTAGTCAACCTATTAACAATCACCCAAACGGCATCATTGCCCCGCTGTGTTCTAGGATGTCCAACTACGAAATCCATGGTAACATGCTCCCATTTCCACTAGGCTATCGGTAAGGGCTGTAACAAACTCGTTGGTTTTTGGTGTTCGGCCTTCCCTTGTTGACAAGTAAGGCACTTCGACACAAAGGATGCGACATCCCGCTTCATACCCTCCACCAAAATTGATGGCTAAGATCACGATACATTTTGGTGCCTCCTAGATATACCGCAAGGTATGAGTGATGGAATTCTCGAGGCACTTCCTCTCTATAAGATTCTGGTACAAACAGATGGTCTAGGAATCATACACTCAGATCCGAGTGAATGCTCAAACCCTTCTCTTCCTTTCCGTTGAAGATTTCATCTCAAATCAACTCCGCTTCACAGTCCCCTTGTTGTGCCTCTACCACTTTACTAATTAAGGTATATTGAGCACTTAAAGTAAACAAAGTCACACCCTCTTCAGACTTACCCAAGTGTAAGTGAAACTCGCCGATGTCACCCAACATAACCCATTCCCGAATGGCTAATCTCGCCAAACCACTCACGGATTTACAACTTAAGGCGTCAGTCACTACAATTGGCAATCGCCAGATGATAATGTAACTCGAAGTCATAATCCTCCAAAACTTCCATCCACCTCCGTTGGCATAAATTCAAGTCTTTTTGGGAAAACAAATACTTTAGACTCTTATGATTGGAGACAACCTCAAACTTCTCGCCATACAAATAATGCCTCAAAATTTTCAAGGCGAACACTACTGCTGGTAACTCCAAGTCGTGGGTGGGGTAATTCTTCTCATGGGTTTTCAATTGTCGTGAACCGTAGGCTACAACCTTTCCCCCTTGCATTAAGACACAACGAAGCCCATCCTGAGACTCATCACAATAGATGGTGTAACCCAAACCTCTTTTCCGAATTATCAACACCGGTGCGGTAGTCAGTCTAGTCTTAAGCTCTTGGAAAGACTTTTCACAAGCCTCACTCCATCCAAATTTAACCCTCTTTCTAGTTAATCTAGTCAAAGGTGCGACTAGTCTAGAAAAGTCCCTCACAAAACGCCGATAGTACCCCGCCAATACCAAGAAACTCCAGATCTCGAAAATGTTTTTGGGTTGTTCCCAATCCTACATAGTGTCTATCTTTGAAGAGTCTACAGTTACCCCCTCTCTTGACACTACATGACCCAAAAACTTCACCATGGTGAGCCAAAACTCGCATTTCTCAAATTTGGCATACAACTGATGCTCCCTAAGTAAATCGAGAACTACCCACAAGTGAGCCTCGTGTTCTTCCTCGGAGGTTGAATAGATTAAGATATTGTCCACAAAGACGACCACAAAATGATTTAAGTATTCTCTAAAGATTCTGTTCATCAAGTCCATAAAGGAAGCTGGTGCATTAGTCAACCCAAATGGCATTACAAGGAACTCATAGTCGCCATAATGCATACAAAAGGCCTTTTTCTGGATGTCCTCTTCCCAGACTCTCAACTGATGGTACCCCGACCTCAAATCTATCTTTGAAAAGCAACAAGCCCCTCTAAGTTGGTCAAACAAATCATCTATTCTGGGTAAAGGATACTTGTTCTTGACAGTAACCCGATTCAACTTGCAGTAATCAATACACAATCGCAACGACCCATCCTTCTTCTTCGCAAAGAGAGCCGACTCTCCCCAAGGCGACGTGCTAGGGCAAATAAAGCCCTTGTCTAAAAGCTCTTGGAGTTGAATCTTAAACTCATGCAATTTCGCCAGTGCAAATCTATACGGCGCCATGGAAATTAGTGTTGTTCCAAGCACTAAGTCAATGGTGAACTTGATCTCCCAGTGGGGTGGAAAACTAGTAACATTCTTGGGAAATACGTTCGGGTATTCACAAACTACCCTTGGCAACTCAACATGAGTTCCATCACTCTCACTATCCAAGAGCGTAGCAAGAAGGCCACTAAGCTCGTTTCTTCTACGAGAGTCAAAAACCGATGACAAGACCCTACCCACCCGGTCCCCCAAAAAGTAAAAACAATCACCACTCGAGGTACACACTGTGACCCTCTGACAAAAACAATCAATTACTGCTCGGTACGAAGACAACCAATCCATGCCTAGAATGACATCAAAACTCAACATGTCTAGCAACACAAAAGTATTGAGGTGTGGAATAAAGTTTCTATTGCCAAGCATATTTGGTTTTTGCTGTCAGGGGGTGAGCAATCCATGTGGTGTCAATGCGTTAAGTCTTACTTGTTAAAGGGTAGAAGTTTTTGGTGCCTCAAAGTTCCTAGTGACCCTTCCTGGGTCTGGAGAAAGCTTCTTGATTTGAGAAGTATTATTGCTCCCTTGATTAAATATAATGTTGGTAATGGGAAGGCAACTTTCTTGTGGTTTGACAACTGGCTCCCTCTTGGGCCTCTTTTTAATAGATTTGGAGACAGAGTTATTTCTAACTCTGGGATCCAGAAGTTTGCTAAAGTGGAGTCTGTTATCTATGGATCTAGGTGGAAATGGCCTGTGTGTCGTACTTGGGAGTTGAATGAGATTAAGGCTGCTGTCCCGGCAGATATGAAGCCTTCTTTAGTGAATGATAAGGTGGTGTGGCTACCATCTTCTGATGGGCAATTCTCCATTAAGTCTGCTTGGGACGAGTGGAGGACCCATGGTTCTAGAGTTGTTTGGGCTAAGATCCTGTGGTTCAAGTTTCATATTCCTAGAATTAGTACTATGGTTTGGGTTGCTATACGTAATAGACTAAACACTCTTCATAGGCTTGTTGTCTTTGGTACTAGCAACTCTTCTATTTGTTGTCTCTGTGGGATTGGGCTTGAGGACCATAATCACTTGTTTTTTAAATGCCCATTCTCTTACAAAGTTTGGAATGGTATGCAGGGTATGTGCAATTTGATTGTTCCTTATCTTGACTAGATAGATTTGGTAGATTGGTTAAGCAGGAATATCAAGGGCAAATCTTTGGCTGCCACTATTTCTAAACTTGTGTTTACTGTTTCTGTTTACTGTATTTGGACTGAGAGAAATTGCAGGATTTTCAAAGGCTCAAAATCCACTGAGGTGGCTATGCAAGCTAAAATTAGAAGCCTTGTGAGAAATAGGATCTTGTCCATCTCGAGCTTCAAAGAGGAGGTGACAAATGCTTGGTTTATGGTGAAGTGGTTCCTCCCAAACTCTATCCTAAAATCAGGTCAAGGATAACTTATTGGTGGATGCAGCTGGTACTTGAGTGTTATGGGTTCAGAAATTGTGGGTTGAGTGGAAGTGAGTATATATTGTGTGTTTCTAATTGTTTGCGATTGTTGTAGTCTCTTCGTAATTGGTGTGAGGTTTGCTATATACCGCTGTGGTTGAGTTTGTGAGGAACAAATACAATCCCTCTTTCTATCCAAAAGTGAAAGAAACGTCTAATGTTTACATATATCTGTATATATTTTCTTATTGTTTTTGCAGGTGTCTAATCAGTTTCCCAGTGCATGGTGGAGTCCATATATGTGGGTTGAGTGTTGTAAGGTTACATATTGTGTGCTATCTATCTATTGCCAAGTGGTGTGAGGTTATATATTGTGGGTTGAGTGATGGTAGGCCCCAAACTATAGTATATATCATACTATTGTATCCTGGGCATATGTAGTTCTCTGTTTGGCTGTTCTCATTTTATCTTCACACTTGGACAGGTTTTACTAATCCTCCGAGTTTGTGGATGAGTGTTGTAGGTGCTGTGGATGCTGGCAGATCTACGGGTTTTCTGGATGCTAGTAGCATGCAATTTGGTTTTTTTGGTCTCATTTGTGGAAAATGCTTGTATTTATTTTTGCTGGTTTCGCCTTCCCTTGCGGGCTGTGCAAGGGTAATCTATTTATTCTCTTCACATGTATGTTTCTGTTTTGATCTTGAGTTGCTTCTCAAGCTTTTGGGGACTTCTTAGCGGGTTGTATAGGGTTATTTGTTCCCTCCTCTTTAGGCTACTATCTACTTATATGTATGTTCATGGTCCTCATGTTCTCCATGGGGCCCTTTAACATATCTTTCGGATGCCTTATTTTGTCCTATTTGTTTTGCTCTGTTTATCAGGTGGGCCCCTTTCCTTTTGTTTTTTTGGGTTTGGTGTGCCATGGTGCTGCCCGTTTGTCTTTTGTTTTCTATTTCATTGTTGTATAGCATTTGGTAGGGCCTGGGGTATGCCCCTTGTATTTGTATTCTTTTGTCTTTAATTTACGACTTACTTACCCAAAAAAATCACATAGTAACAATAGCCTAATAATCGGAACAAGAGCATATAATGTAAGTAAGAATCACATCATGATTAGTAGAGGACGATATTTGATCGGGCGAGCAGCGGTGCTCAATTCATGACCTTTCCCTCTCGTACCTAAGTTCTCGAGTCGAGACAATCTTGGTGATGACAAACACGTGGCCTTTGGCACGAGTCATGCCTTTTTTTGCTTAATTCTAGCATGTTTTATGACTATATTAGACCTATTTTAGCACTATTTTGGGTTGTAGGTAGCATTTGAGCTTTGTTTTGCATGCTTGTAGTGTAATAGTCCTCATGAGTTTGGTGTTCTAGGCCTTAGACACCACCTTATTTGAGTTGATTGCATTTATTTATGGTTTTTCATACTTGTAATCACACTTAATCATCTCTGCAACCTCCCTCATTTCTTGGCTTTTGTTTTGCTTTGAAAGTGGTTCAAACAACTTGTTTGTTTAAGCATTGAGATTGAGATGTCATGCTTAATGGTTTAATCCCTTAGAGGG